TATTGAGTACAAGAGTTGGCAGGTCATGTTACAGTTGTATAGGGCTTTGGTTCGACCACATTTGGAATATTGTGTACAGTTCTGGTCGCCACATTACCAAAAGGATGTAGATGTTTTGGAGAGGGTGCAGAGGAGGTTCACCAGGATGTTGCCTGGTATGGAGGGCGCTAGCTATGAAGAGAGGTTGAGTAGATTAGGATTATTTACATTAGAAAGATGGAGGTTGAGCGGGGACCTGATTGAGGCCTACAAAATCATCAGAGGCATAGACAGGGTGGATAGCAAGAAGCTTTCTCCCAGCATGGGGGACTCGATTACTAGGGGTCACGATTTCAAGGTGAGAGGGGAAAAGTTTAAGGGAGATATGCGTGGAAAGTTCTTTATGCAGACGGTGGTGGGTGCCTGGAACGCATTGCCAGCGGAGGTGGTAGAGGTGGGCACGAAAGCGTCATTTAAGATGTATCTAAACAGATACATGAATGGGCAGGGAGCAGAGGGATACAGATCCTTGGAAAATAGGCGACAGGTTTAGATGGAGGATCTGGATCGGCGCAGGCTTGGAGGGCCGAAGGGCCTGTTCCTATGCTGTAATTTTCTTTGTTCTTTGTATGATGTCACCTCCAGGTTAGGCAGATTTGACAATATCTCTCCATTAAACACAGCTAAGAACATTTCCCCAGTGAAACATCCTTCCTCAAAGCCATCCAAAATCACAATCCTCAGTGATCATTCTTCAAGTAAGTGACAAGTCAGTGAATGTCAACAGGGCATTTTAACTGAGCTTTGCTTTGTTCTCAACTAAGGTCCACTCTTGATCAGAAGTGGGAACTTTTAATTTTCACATCTGTCTGGTTGAAATGGAGGAAGATGTAGTGCCCCACATCTCCGAAGGAAATGATACTTTATCCCAGATCTAGCTCAGGAACTATTACAAAAGGAAAATACTGCAGATGCCTGAAATCCAATATGAAACCAGAAAATGCTAGAAATATTTAGAAGGTCTGGCAGCATCAATGGAGAGAAAAACAAAATTAACATTTCTGTTTGTGATGTTTCATCAGATTGGTAACATACCCACTTGATTTCACCCACTGTGGCACCAGAGCCCTTCAAATGATACTTAATGCCAAACAGGCAAGAAAGAAAACTCACAACACTTAAATATGGACAACAAATGTCTTTTTTTATTATTAGTGTAATTACAGTGTTAGTTACAATAAGGATCAGTAATCTATGAAAGGACAAAGCAAACATTGCCTTTTATGAGATGTACTAAAGCGTACATATTTCCAATAATCGCATAGCAATTTAGATAAGTGAAAACTTAAAATGAAAAATCAGCGCTACCACCTGAGACACGTTAAAATGTTATACATGATGGCCCACATACTGATGTGTTGAAACACTATTTACACCTCAATAACATACCCTTCCTAGCCAGCTAACCTCCATCAACACTAGCAAGGGAGCAATGGGAAACGTTCAGCCCCTGTGCTTCCTTTACTGTATTATAGCTACATGCAGCAAGAGTTCTCTAAATAAGTGGCAGCCAAAAAGGAGACTATCAGCCTTAACCAAAAGCAGAGTCCCTTTCCATTTACTCATGCTAATGCACAATACATCTAATTATCGCTGATGCTGAAATGTTCAGATTGAACTTCAACTTAAAATGGCACAGATGGCTTTCCAAAAAGGTTTTGGAACAGGCCAACTTCCTAATATCAGTTCAAGAGACCAGAATTACACTGTGCGATGCACAAGGTTTTATTCTGCTTGTAAGGTGGGTCTATGCCTACCAGCAGGTTGGGAGGCGATACAAAGGTGAAGGTATTTTGCTCCATTAAGGTAACAGTTAGATTGGTGTAAACAGCCTACATGTAAATTACTAATGGCGAGGAAAGTTTACAAATTGGCAGGTGTTTACAAATTTCCAGTTCAGTAGAAAACATGATTTTAAAAAAATGTATACGACTAATGATCTAAAATTTTGGATATACATTGGATTAAAAATTTTTTTTTTTTTTTTTTTTTTAAACACACTGTGCTGCACTGGGGAAATTTAAAGTGATGCAAGTGTGATCGCTTATCCTTGTGGTAACAGCAAATCATTGTTAATGAGGCATTTCCTTCTTCCATACAATGCGACTCCTGGTGCTGTTTCAGTATCTTGCCCCAAGTAGCTAGTCATTAAATGTAAATTAAGGGACAGAGAAACATTTGTCTGAGCGCATCATAGCCAGAACTAAACCTGTACATCCACATTTCCCAATTAGGATCACTGCAGAAAGAAGCCGCCACAATGTTCTTGGTTATTTGCTCCCGGTTTTTGAATTGGAGGAGTGATGGGAAAAAAAAAATCTACCAACCCCATTGCTCACCCAGATAAAAGAAAAAACTTTTAAAAGGTCATTAATACGAAATAAAACTGAAGAGTCTATAGTGGGTAATCTTTGTTTTAAAGTATAACATTTTTTGGGACCAATTTTATACTAATATTGTGGCAAGAAGAAATGAAAATTATTCATTTTATTCTTGTAATGTTTTGCCAAGATCCACTTGGATATCATTTTCTTTTTAACTTATGAAATATACAATCGCATTACTTTGCATGCAAAAATGTCGAATGTGACGTAAAAGGGGAAATTGCAATTGTATTGTGCACAAACATGAAGGTTAATAATACATTACTGGCAAATATGACATTTGAATTCATGACCCCCTAGCAATAATGCAAGTCTAAATCACTGAAGATGGATAGGTACAACAAGCTTGCTTGTTACATAACAATTGGTCCAAGGAATATAAAGCACTCCTTACCTTTATGCTACCACACAAATAATTTCCTCATGGTATAAGGAAACAGAACTTATTCAAATTGCATTCAGACTCAGTCAGACAAGTTCCTGCACATTTGAGTCAACCACAACAATGCTACATCAAAGAAATAATAAAACCAGTACAAATGTGCATAATGGAGGATGATAGTTGAGGTAATCCCTCAAGGTCCTTTACAATGCAGTGTGTGTGAAGGCTGTCACCCAAATGTTGTTTTGCATTTTTGCTTCAAATGGTGAGAGGGTAGGCAACCTCCTCAGTAATAAGGTCATAGCACAATACACAGCTCAAGAGGAAGCCTTTCAGCCCATCATGTCTGCAAAAATGATTTCCAAAATAAAAATGAATCTGCCAAGTTTATTGTCCAACATGAAGGTAACATCTCTTATGGCACAAACATGGAACCCAGGTAGGATAGTCAAGCAATTGCACATTTATAGTTCTGGAAATCTGCTTTTTTAAGCTATTCCACCATGTAATATTGTCTTCAAAGCAGTTATCATAAGAGGACAATACAGATGTTTAAATGTAGAGGGATTTGACGATGCTGAAGCATATTCTATATTGTGAAGCTCTGAAATCCAAGTACAAAGCACCTCCTTCACAATCGAGACGTTGGTGGGAATCTGTCAGGTAATTTTCTATCCATGCCCATCAAAACGGACTGTTCCATTAAATTGGAGGATTTAAACAAAACCAAACGCACAGTTTTCAGTTCAAACAATCCTCGAGTTTTTGTTAATCTTGTGCAATGACTCAGCAGGTTCTGGAGGCCTTTCCTTGTTGTCACCAGTCACCACCTCACAAGATTTCTATTTCAGAGTCTGTCAGGTACCGGAGAGCATCAATGGCCAAGCCATTGCCAGATTCTTCAGCCAGGCTTAAAGGTGTCTGAAATTTTGCGTTGTGTAAATTAACATCAGCACCATGAGCAAGGAGGATGTCAATACATTTTAGATGTCCACATTTGGCTGCCAAATGCAGAGGTGTTAGACCTTCGTCATCCGCGATGTTAATGATATTTTCTGTGCAGTTGAGAAGCTCCCTGACCACTTCACTGTGCCCTTTCTCTGCAGCAAAGTGGAGAGCTGTTCTCTGGAGGGAACCAGTGATCTCAGAGTTGGCCTGCTCTTCCACCAACATTTTCACAGTCTGGAGATGACCGCAATTGGATGCCAGGTGGAGGGCAGTCCAACCATCCTCAGTCACTGCGTTGATGTCCACGCCGTGCTTGATAAGAAGCCTGGAAGTGCTGGTGTGCCCACCCTCGGCTGCCAGGTGAAGGGGCGTGTGGCGGCTCAAGGTTTTCCAATTCACAGTGCTCTTAAACTCCAAGAGGATACGAGCTGCTCGGTACTGCCCTCTCTGGGCTGCAAGATGCAGTGGGGTCCTTCCGTCAGCTGTCAGCACATCCCCATTTGCCCCAGCCTGCTTGATGAGAAGCTTTGTGATGGTGTGGTGGCCTTGCCATGCAGCAAAATGCAAAGGCGTCCAGTTGTCCTTCCCTTTGGCTTGGGCATTAGCCCCGCGGCTCAAAAGAACACGCACTATATTTTCATGGCTGTGCTGGCAAGCAACATGCAGTGCTGTTCGGCCTTCAAAGTCCACCTCATTAGTTGAAGCATTCCTGTCCAGTAGCAACCGCAAAAGGGTTTCTTCACCGCTCTGCGCGACAAAGTGGAGTGGAGTCCAGTGGTCTTCATCCTTGGCGTTTATGTTTGCCTTCTTTCCCAGGAGCAGCTCGGCGATAACCTTCAAGTTCTTCTCTGCAGCCAGGTGAAGTGGCGTGGACCCCCGTTTGTTAGGTACATTCGGGTTGGCGTTGTACAAAAGCAACAACCGCACAGCTTCCTCGTTGCCCAGTTGAACGGCATAATGCAGGAGGCTCATGCCATCGTCCAAGATCAGGTCCACATCTTGAGGCTGCAGGAGCTTCATCAACTTTCCAATGTCCCCAGACACAATGGCTTCATAGAGCTTCTTCTTTGGAACATCTGACATGGATTGTTCTGGGGGGAAAAGGAAAATGGAAGCCAATTAGTTCTTGCACCTCAAGTGCAAGGATAACATAGTAACTCTTTCTTCAAAACACAAACAAAAAGAAAAGTAGTAACATGAGGATCTATCGTCCATCCACTGACGAAATACAGACAGCAAAAAAAAGTGGAACAACCTGACGAGAGGCAATCGTGTTGTGATTTTGAGCAGAAATTTAACATGTCCAAAACATCAACAGGGAACTCTCACCCAGTCCTGCTCCCAATTAGGGCAGAAAGCTCATATCCAACCAATTTGGAGGGTGACCCAATTCCAAGAACTGCCAGGCATCTGATTGGTCAACAAAGCTACCAGGAGAAGTTGCTACTGCAGGGACTGCATCCATTCCCAGGTGGATGCAATGGTCAGGGGAGAAACGCTTTCATCCCCAATCAAGGCAGAGTAGGCTGCCTTGTCAAACAACATTTCCCCCACACTCCCGTACCCCCTCCTGCAACACCCCCCACCCCACCCCCCTGCCAGCATGTCACACTTTACCCAACCCCACTGGGGCAGAAAGATTGTGACCAACGCAGAAAGCGGCCGCTTAAGATTGAAGGCAAGTGGAAAGTAACCAATAGAATTGGTAAGTGGTAGGCAGAAGGAAAGTTGCCCACAGAATTCCCTCGCAAACCACAAACCCACTCCCAGATGGCAAAATTCTTCCCAAAATCTGCATGCAGTGAACTTTGATTTTAACTGTGGAGTAATGTGATAGAAATAGATCATTGCTGCAGTTTTACTTGGGAGATTAATAATCGGCAAAGTTTAGAAAACCGCAGCAACTTGATGTTGGGAGATAGCAAGAACTGCAGGCACTGGAGTCGGAGTCAATACAGTGTGGAACTGGGAGGAACACAGTAGATTAGGCAGCATCAGGGGAGCAGGAGAGTCAACATTTCGGGCCTAGACCCTTCAATTTGATGTTCCACATTTTCAATAGTACACTTAGAACGCAATCCATTGGATCACAGTGTAAGTGTTTAACAATAAAGAGCTTATTGCTATGGATAGTCAGCTCTGATGACTAAACTGTGACAGTAATTTGAACAGATTATATGTTTTAACTTGCAAAATTCAGTGGCAAGCTGCTCCCAGCAAAGTTGGTCATTTAGTATGAACTCAGCATTGTGAATAGTATGAAGAGACAGCTGAAACTGTTATTGATGATATAAATTGGTGACCATGGCTACAAGTACAATGAGAGCTTAATACCAAAATGTTTTCATGTTACCAATCAGGAAAAAGAACTTGCTAACCCTGGATATCATTCTGGTTGTAACTAAAGGCACCCACAATGTCTTGGGGGTAAATGTTCCCCAAAGGTGTGCTGCTAAACCATATGTTACCAGAAGATTCTAAATTTATATTTGGTTCTTCAGGTAGATTTGGTGCTAAGTATGGCTCCAGAAACTTTCAGGCTACGGAAAGAGGGGAAAAAGAAAATTGGATGTTCCCACTTGCACTGGCATTATCATCACTGAATCTTCAAGTATTGACATCCTGGGGTTACCATTGGCCAGAAACTGAACTGGACCAGCCATATAAACACAGTGGCTACAAGAGAAGGTCAAAGGTTGGAATACTGCAGCAAGTAATACCTTCTGACTCCTCAAAGCCTGTCAACCATCTACAAAGCTCAAGTCAGGAGTGTGAGGGAATACTCCCCACTTGCCTGGATGACTGCAGCTCCAGTAACACTCATGAAGCTTGACACCATCAGGACAAAAACAGCCTGCTTGACCAGACAAAAACAGCCTGCTTGACCAGCACCACATTCACAACGTTCATTCCCTCTACCACCTACGCTCAGTTGCAGCAGTGTGTACATTCGACAAGATGCATTGCGGAAATTCATCAAGGCTCCTTAGACAGCACCTTCCAAACCCACAACTACTACTAGCTAGAAGGATACAGACATCACCATCTGAAGGTCGCCTCCAAGTCACTCACTGTCCTGACATGGAAATACATTACTGCTCCTTCAGTTTTGTTGGGTCAAAATTCTAGGACTCCCTCCCTAATACAGGTCTATCTACAGCAATTCAAGAAGGCAGCTCACCACCATCTTCACAAAGGCAATTAAGGATGGGTAAAAAATTTTGGCCCAGTCAGCAACACCTCATGCCATGAATGAATAAAAACTATTTTTAAAAGTGTCCTGAATCGTGACCCCCTTTCATGGACAAAGCGTGCTTGGACAAGGCAAGGTGACAGGGATCTCTCCAATGGTCAAGCTCCCTGTCAATACTCAGAGCTCAGATTCATATGGCAGAGGAAAACTGGCACCTCCTACAGTCAGGAACCTAATGCAATTGATGACTAATAACAAGGCTAAGTAAGCATCACCATGTTGCAAAGTTTAGTCAACTTACCAATCCCTCCAGCTTCCTTTCCAAAAGACAATGATATGGATCCTTGGGATGAGAACGCAGAGTCAATGGATGAGATCCCTGACAGTCTCTTCTTGCTGTCAGCTATTTCACCATTTGCTGGGCATTCGTTCCCAGCTGATTCAAAGCCCGAGTCCAGCTGAGACAGTAGCTGCGAAAGGCTGCATTCGTCACAGTCAGAGGTCCGTTTGTATTGCTGATTCTGAACTGGCTGCTCAACTGCTACTGGTGGATCCTGACATTAAACAAAAAACATCATGTCATACATTTCTGATGAAGGGTCTAAGCCCGAAACGTCAGCCTTCCTGCTCCTATGATGCTGCTTGGCCTGCTGTTTCAACCAGCTCTACACCTTGTTTTCTCAGATTCTCCAGCATCTGCAGTTCCTACTATCTCTCATGTCATACATTGCAATCTACAAGATTCTGAATGGGCTTGATAGGGCAGGCACAGAGATTGCTTTTGGTTTCCAGAGAATCTAAAAATGGGTGCTCAGACCCCCTATTCAGATTTGCTTGTGCACCTTTTATTCTACGGTGCAGTGTTTGTCTAAACCCAGCCTGGAGACAATCGGAGGTTGAGTTACCAACTCTAGTGAATGCATTCTTGGAGATTTCATCACATTGCTTTCACAGGTGATTTGGGGAGGACAATGCTGAGGCAAGAAGTAAAGAGGAATCATCAGTAAATCAGTCAGTCAATTCCCGAATGGCAATCAAGCAACATTTTCTGCACCAACTCCCATAAATCTCCAATGTATTTATAAACGAACAAAAGAATCTCTCACAGAACAAAAAAAATGCTAACTTTTTCAATGTTCATATGTTATTATTGCTGAAAATAACCCTGGAGATTAATCTTCAATTCCTGAAGATTGACAACCCCTTAAAAGGCCAATGTATTCTCAGTCACCTTGTATTATGCGATGGATAGTGGTGTGCAAGTACGGCCACTTCAATATATCCATCAAACCTACATTTATGTTATGCCCTTCCCATCCTCAAGCAATTGTAAATTAATTCAAGATGAATGAATTGCATTTTTAAAAAAAAGTACAAATAGCCCTGACTATGTTGGTAAGACAAAGTAGCCACTTAATTCACAGGAAACTCTTACAACTTCGTATTTAAGAAATGAGTGTGTCACTGGCAAATCTGTGTTTATTATGGTAAGTGGTAGTAAGCTACCTTGTTGAACCACTTGGGGTGTTGTTGAGAAGGAAATTCCAGTCTTTTGATCCAGTGGCAGTGAAGGAACTGCGATATATCTATAAGTCAGGGTGGTGTGAGACTTGGAGGGGAACTTGGTGGTTTTCCCATGATGCCCTTATCTTTCGGTGGTATAAAGTCATAGGTTTGGAAAATTATCAGTTTGCAGATAATGAATTATAATGGGCTTGGTCAAGGGAAAAATGCCTGTCACAAAACTGCAAGAATTCCCTGCCCTTCAAATTGGGCCAAAGCATTCTCATCAAAACACAACGTCCAAAAGGCCGAATCTCTGACAATGCAGCATGCCTTCACTACTGGAGCAGTGTCAGTCTAGACAAGTGCTGAAATACTGGATTAGTACAAATCCTGTTTCTTTCCCTCAATCCCATGTTCAACAAAGAGTAGGGATATCTTAAGAATAGGGGATCTGGCGAGTATCCTTTCTCACTTATACCAACAACTGACAGGATCAACTGCAGAATAAGTTAGATGCAGAATAAAGCTTTCTGCACTAAAATTCAACACTATAACAGAAAGCAAAAAAATGTTGTAATTACTCAGCAGCTTTAAGCAGCTTCAGTGGATGGTCTTTCATTAGAATTATCATCTTGATCTAAAAGATTAATTCTCATTCTCACTATTTGTTGAGTACTTAACAGCTTTTTATGCTTTTATTTCAAATCTCCAACAATCTCTGCATTATTGCAATCCGTTCTTAATTCCAGGTGAGGGGCTTTCCATTTCATTGGTGTGATCTTCCTTGACCTCAGCCAACTACTCTAATGAGATAGGGTTGAGGGTACTAAATAAAAGGCAACTTTTGACGTTGGTTCATTGTCTGGCATGTGAATCCAATTTTGGTAGGACAGACTTGATGGACTGAAGGACCTCTTCTATTTCTATGACCATCTCCAACCATGTCCTCATAACATTCACGACCATTGCCGATCGCCATCAGCATTTTGGAAGTCACCATTGACCAGAAAATGAACTGGACTGGACCAGACCAATGTCACTGCAAGAAAAGGTCAGAGGCCGGGAATTCTGTGGCAAATAACTCACCTCTTGTTCCCCAATGACTGCCACTATTTACAAGGCACAAGTCAGGAGCGTAATGGATTACTCTCCACCTCCCTGTGTGAATACAATGTCAAAAAATACAAGCTCAATTCCATCGAGGTAGGTTTAAAACAAAGCTTGGATTGATAGCTCATCCACCACCTTCAACATCCGTCACCACAACTACCAGTCTGTACCACCTACAAGAAGCACTGCAGACAATCCATCAAATCTTCTTCAATAACATCTTCCAAATCCTTAGTACTCAATAAGAGCAAGTGCAATAATACGTGGAAACATCCCCACCCTCAAGATCCCCGCCAAGCCACACACCATCCTGACTTGAAACTATATCGCCGTTTCAGTCAAAATCCTGGAATTCCCCCTCTAAAAGTATTTGCTTCACAGGGACCTCTCATTCAAGGTGGCAGCTCACCACCATGTTTTCAAGAACAACTATGGGCGGGCAACAAATATTCATCCCACGAGCTAAGAAAAACTTCCAATATCAAGACCATTCCGAAACATGATTCGAAGGTACACTTTACATAAACATATTTCTCATAGGCTAAATGAAGATAAAGATGAGAGACTCTCTCAAATATCATCTACTTCATTGTTCCTGCCTCTGGGACATGCGTGTAGCACACACTTTCTTTAGCTGAAAATTGGCAGTGTATTTCTACCAGAAGCCATTTGGAGCTAACCAGCTCTCTGATTTTCCCTTATTCCATCAGGTAATGAGGTCTCCCCTCAGCACCTCCTATGTGTTGACACGTTTTGTGGGAAAATTATTCTCCCAACGCATTCTAAATCATGTGAGAGTTAGCATGTTGCAAGCAGGAAATACATGGACCAAATGTCGATCATCCGGGTACTTGGAGTGGCATGATGGACCATTGGTTAGCACTGCAGCCTCACTGTGCCAGGAACCCGGGTTCAATTCCACCCTCGGGTGACTGACTGTGTGGAGTTTGCATGTTCTCCCAGTATCAGCATTGGAACACCTGGAGGAAACCAGTTTCCTCCCACAGTCCAAAAATGTGCAGGTTAGGTGGATTGACCATGTTAAGTTGCCCCTCAGAGTCCAGGGATGTGTAGGCCAGATGGGGTAGTCATGGTAAATGCAGGGTTAAGGGGATAGGGTGGGGAGGGTCAGTACAGACTCAATGGCCTCTTTCTGCACTGTAGGGATTCTGTAATTCTACTTGTCCACCGTCCTGATGATCCAAAAGAATTTTACTAGGAATGCTACTTCATTGCACAGTATTCTTGTCTAATCTCATAGCCTGAAGAGAGATTAGATTCACTGTCATTTTGGGGTCCTGTATTTCCTCAATTTAGTACTTAGATTGATCTAATACCATACTTTGGTATTAAGCCGAAAAGTTGAGAACCTCACTCCCAAATTTCTACTGTTTATTTGTGGGGGATTCATTCTCTCTGAAATCTCAGATCATGATGGTTCCTTTGCATACAATCTTTTGTTGAAACCCAACATGTCCTCATCATTCTGACTGACCCCTGTTGTGGATTTCCTATAATCAGTTAAATATCATACAGATAGAATGCGGTGTTTGCCTATACTACTTTGATGACTACATTACAATGTTAGTAAATTTGATTACTTAGGAGAAACAGTGTCCCAATCCGTGCATTAAATCGGCCTTTGTAATTTTTTTGGAGTGAGATAGAGCACAACAATGGCATGTATCATCAGCTTGGTTGTCTGGGCTTTCACACAAAGAACAACTGCCCAAGCGAGAAAGTGGAGGACTGCTAGGTCATCATTAATCCTCCAAGAGGCAATGCCTTGAGCAAAAAGGGGCAGAAAATTGGGAGTGAGACACACCTTATAATTACTTCTGAAATTTATTACATCGATTATATTGAATGGCAGAGCAAGATCAAACAGCTGAATGGCCTACTCCTGTCACTATTTTCCATGCTTCTAAATGTCTTCAGCAACATCAATGGTGACCTCAGATATTTTATGTACAAATTGTTTTATTACTTTTGACTAAGCAGGAAGTAGCATTTCCCAATCAAGGCTGGTTTTGCTTTCTTTATTCTTTCATGGTGTATGCAAGCATTTGCTCACCATCCCAACTGCCTGTGAATTGAGTGTTAAGGGTCAATCACCTCGTTTAAGCACAGCCACAGGCAAAACTGGGCAAAGTTCCTTCCCTAAAGACCATTCATAAACCAGAAGGTTTTTCACAACAATTATTCAAGTGTTTCAGATTCAATAAACAAATTTAATTACAATTGGTTTCTATGGTTTGATTTGAATCCATGTTCTCAGATCTGGTCTTGTCCAGTAACACTGAAAGTAAACGATTGTGTTGTGGTAAAGAGGTGTATCACTTTTGCTGTCATGTCCCAAGAACCAAATCCTGGCTAGCATTTCTCTGAGCTGTACTAACTTGATTCAGCTATCCTCTTTGAAGCAAAAACCCGAGTATGTTTTACCTTTTTGCTTGCCTCATGAGATTGGCCAGAACTCACAGGCTGCTCTCGTGGTTTCTCTTGTGCTATCTCTTGCGGCTTGGTGCTAAGTTCTTCAGTTTCTGAAGTGATCTCTTTCAAAGCAAAATGAAGGATATTAGTCTTCTTTGCATATTATCCCTTTAGATTGTAACAGTTGTTTTCAAACATGCACTAATTAGACCAATTGATTTGGGGTGAGAGAGAGGGAGAGAGAAATCAAAGCAGTGGTTCATTAGGATAGGTTGGGACAATGCTCAGTGTAAGAGGGCAGTACCCTAACATACAGCCAAGACCAAACTCATTGGATTGAAATTCATCGCAATACACAATTGAACATTATGCTTTAACTTCGGTATAGTTCTTACAGGCACAAATGAGCAATACAACAACTGCCTTAATTGGCACTGAGCCCAGGTCACAGAGGCGAGATGAATGGTTGGCATCGGAAAAGAAACAAAACACAGGTTCAGTAAGAAGAGATTATCTGAAGCTTGTTCAAAATAAGTTGTGGCCATAATGGGATAGAGATTATTTCCTGTTGGTGTACGATTTGTGGTTAATAATAACAACAATACCCTGTCAATCCAATTCTAAAGTAGTGTTCACCTTGAAATGTTGGGCGGTCACTGGGAGCCTCCTTCCAACATCGCTGCATTAACTTTAACAGGCCCTTGCATGCTGGTGGTCTTGATTTAGGAATCGCAGACAGATCAGGACGAAGACCGCTCACTACTTTGACCATAATATGTAGAATATTTGTTTCAGCTAAAATTAGAAAACAAATAAATTGGAACACAGTCTTTAATAAAGCATAACCCTTACATTGAACAGGTTGTTTATCACATCTCGAAGTGCTTATATTGAAGTACAGTGACTTATGTGGAGAAACAAGAGACACTCTACATCCATTTTTACAAGTCAGCGACTTGACAAACAGCAGCAAGGACAAAGCTTGGCCATAGCACTGGTAAAACTTCCAATTAAAGCATGAAAGCATTGTAAAGGTTGAGGACAAGATTCACAAAAAATGATTGCAGAGATGAGGAGCCTTGGTAATGTAGCTCAATTAGAAAAGAAATTACAAAATCTTGAAGGGAAGGTTGAGAGGATATGTGACAGAGGCATATTTTTTTCTTTTATGGAATGGCATCACTGGTAAGACCATCACCAGTCATCAAATTTCTATGAGTTGAGTGACTTGTTTGGCCATTTCAAAGGGTTGTTGAGAGGCAACCTCATTGATGTGGGTCTGGAGACACATATTGTCTAAACCAATTAAGGATGGCAGGTTTTCATCCCCAAAGAAGCAGAATTCATCCATGAAAGTAGGGGTTTTATCAACTGAGTTGAACAGATGTAATTAAAATCGAATGCTTGATAACGCATGTCAACACTGGCATTAATCCTGGCGAAGTTAACAGAATTGCAACAAATTGTTGCAGTCAGAAATTTGACATTGAATTCCTATTCGAAAACAACCTGCACCTATGGTTCATATATTCAACAGAAATTGCTGGAAAAGTTCAGCAGGTCTGGCAGCACCTGTGAGGAGAAATCAGAGTTAACGTTTCGGGTCGAGTGACCCTTCCTCAGAAGGGACGTTCAGTTCTGAGGAAGGGCCACTCCACCTGAAACATTAACTCTGATTTCTCTCCACAGCTGCTGCCAGACCTGCTGACCTTTTCCAGCAATTTCAAGTTTTGTTCCTGAACTGCAGTTCTGTCGGATTTTGCTCGTATATTCAAACCTGGTTAAGATTTATAAGATGAAAGTCTCCTTTGCCTGTAAAAGGATCCCACATGAAATTAGTTAAGGCACACTGTACAATGCTATTATAAGCGAATTCACAACAACCTAATTATTGGGATGTGCAGCAGGTAAACCATCATACTCTGATAGCGCAGACACTTGCCCGAGATCATAGCTGGGCATATTGTTGTGGGAAGTGTAGAAGGAACTTAACTTGACTATGTAATGTGTAACTGTCAAAATTTTTTTTAAAAAGTTCCCCTCCTCAATCCTTTAATCAATATTTAAAATGGAATTTAGAGTTAAATTTCAAAGAAGCTTTTTTTTCCCCCCGGGATAGAGAATAGAGTCCACAGAAATGACACAACACATGTCTTGCAATGTTACCATTAATCAGTGATGAACTAATGGTTATTCATTGCAAATGAAAAGTAATTTGTCAATTTCAAGACTAACTGCATTTTGAATTTTTCCCCATGAAGTATAGATGAAAGATCATAGTCCAAACACAGGACAGCATCTAAAGTAGTGAAAAAAAAATTAGAGGCAAGGTCATGCTGCCAGCAGCAGTGTTATTTTAAATGTATGAAATTTTTAGGAGATGTTAAAGCGTTTCACAGTGCCAATTCCCGAGAAAAAATATGAATTCAAGTAGGATAGTTCCTAATTCCTACAGAGAAAAGGGGAAAAATTTTAGGATAGTATGTGTAGTGAGTGTGCATGTATGGCCATTTATGAGCGAGTGTAGGATACCATGATTACAAAATGTGAGGTAATGTCAGAAGAACAGGGGGCTATCCAGCAGTAAAAAGCTAAAGGGGAATTGTGTGAAAGAGTGAGATCATACCAGGAGCAGGAGATGACCTTCGGACAATGATTTATTTTTTCCACACTGCTCGAGTGTGCTGAACAATGCTATGGTCTTTCAGGTATGAAAATATTACCCAAAAGTTTGATAGCACTTTGGTAACAGAGGGGTTTAGGGGAGGCTGGGTCAAGAGCTATTGAGGAGAAAATAAATACATAGGACAAAAATGAGTTCCAATGGTTTTTTTGGAGCTTGAGGAACAGAGGAGATATGAAAATGAATAGTTTTGACTTTGATAAAAGATGATCATGAGGCTAAGAATGTCAACTGATGACAAATGCTATGGGTGGTTTCAGCAATAGCATGATTCAAAAGAGATAGGGCTTTCTTTCAATGTTACAAAAAAAATGGTTAGTTCTATTGGCCAGAATGAGGATTTCAAAAGTTTTTGTATTGCTAATAAGATAGCACATTTTAATTGAAGCTTTTTTTTTGGCACTAATGAGGAAGATTTGCAAGATTTGCAAGATTACCAATTCAAGGGGAAGAGCAATGTTAATATTGCACAAGAGGAGAGAGCTAATCGATTGGCAGGGAATCTGATTGGTAGGGGCATTGACATGCAGAATGCAACATCAATGCTGATTGACAATTAACTGCCAGGCTTTGTTTAGAATTAAACCAATCAGGTTGATTCTGATCAACATGATCAGCAGTCCTAACCCTGCTTTGAACTTGCTTTGTCTTATTCCGAGAAGATCAAGATCTTGTTGATTCAGGGGAAGCGTTCAGTTAAGTAATGCTTTTTGGCACACTACCAGAAAATACTGTAAAAATGTGGAAAGTCCGTCAGTTTTGTTTTTCTGATGTTAGACTACAATTCAGATTGTAAACATTTCTGGAATTTAAGAAATTTGATACTTTGTGGGATAATATTAAAAAACAAGAAAAACCTCAAAAATTGGCAAAATGTCTCTGAAGCTCAATGGTTTGGATATCTGTCTCGCCTGCCCTCTATGTGAGACTAAAGGCCGTTATGAATCAACCACATTAAAGTGGGTTGTAAAACCATTTGTGACCAAGAAACAGGTGTGACAATGTTCAGAACTTTAATAACTGTTCATGGACTGAAAAAAAATCAGCAATAACCCCTAATGGAATAAACTCTTTCCGGAGATAAAAGGGACTAGGAATTGAGTGCAATTAGCAATGCCGAGGAAAACAAAAATGAGTCAGTCAAAGCTACATATACAAACTGTTTTAATAACAGCTTGATAACTTACTGCCTTGTGGTAAATGCAGATTGCCCGCATAAGGAATGTCTTGAGGTGACGGAGTTAATGACAGGACAGGCTGTGTTTCAAACACTGAATGTAACAAGGAGCAGAGAAACTACTTCTGGTAAGAAAGCAAGCTACAAACTTGGTGACTTCAGAAGTGTCATAAATGATGTCATACCACGAGTTTAATAAGACAGGAAATCCTATAAGAATTCAACTTCGGGTTTCTTCGCAGCAGAACTTTGGAGAACCACATTGAACAAGGATATATCCAGAGACAGAGGCAGTCGCTTGGAATCATGGCTAAATTCCACCAATAATTGGATATTAGCTAAGTTGAGTTGTGAGGCTTAAATTGCTTACTTGAGGTGCCTCATTTTGGTTGCCAGATACAAAAAGATTTAAGTAATTGTTGCAGTATTTGACTGTCTGGTGAGATTTCTCAATAAATAGCCCCGAATTAAAGATAGCTTGTGGTAATTTACACATAACACAGTCCACCACCATCTTCTCAGGAGAGCTAGGAATGCACAGAAAATGTAGCCTACATTACATTCCTTCAGAGTGGAAGCATCATTACACAGATTGAACACAGGGTGGAGAAAAGCACTTTTATGAAGGAGGAGAAACAAAGGAACCAGAACAATGCCCTGATCCATGATTACAGTAAGAAAGAAGAAGTTTGTCATCAGACACAGCACAGGATCATATTTGCACAAAGATGGCAAACTGGTTTTCACAGGAGGGATCAAATAACATATCTTATTTAGTGGAGATTTGTGCATTCTAAAGCACCAAGAGTCTTCTGTTGTCAGTAAAATTCTTTCAACCTTGGTTTCCCTTTTCCCACAGATGTATCTCTTGGTGCATACCTGCAAAAGGCTTCTTCTGTGTTAGAATTCCCCAGATGACAATGGAAAAGCTGCAAGAGGCAAATAAGCAATTGGTGAACATTTGTAAAATCAAAAAGAACTAAAAAGGCAAATCTGAGAGTGAAGGAAGTAACAAATTAAAAAGAGAGTTTCCTGTTGTAATCCAAGTCAGGCGTATTGACATGTTCCGCTAGCTACATCAAAACTTTGGATATCACATAATTAACTACTCCCCAGCAGATCACTGACACAGTATTTAAATTCCTCTTTCTATTATGTTGGTAGATGCATTGGGGGTCAGTTGGATGGATGGCTGGTTTGTGATGCAAAGTGATGCTAGGAGTGTGGGCTCAATTCCTGCACCAGCTGAGGTTACCATGAAGATCCTGTCTTCTCAACCTCCCCTGAGACTTTGGGAACCCTCCAGTTAAACTCACCCTTAGTCATCTCTCCCTAATGACAGAGTCCTCTGGAACTATGGAGACTTCACCCTCGCTAGACAGCCCTGACGAAAACCCATACAATACTCCTACAAAACGCAATGATGGTTCCAATAGAAAGTACCTTCAATTACTCCCCACACACTAAATTTCTTATTCTAGAGAACTTCATTAAGGGAGAGGAGGAGGAGGAGGAAAGGGTCTAACCTGTATACATCATGCTTAATGTCAGAATTCTTCTTCTGGCGTAGACGCTCTGGAGGAAGGTATGCAATTGTACCACAGAAGCCATCCAAACTGATGTCTTGTGTATTAGACAATCCATTCCATCTCGCTAATCCAAAGTCTGAAATCTATGCAGAGAATTTACAAAAAACAACAGTAGGTATTTACACAGTGTCTTCAAATTAGGTGTTTCATAGATACATTATGAAACAAAACATAACACCAAATGAAGACAAGATATTAGAGCAGATGACCAAATGCTTGGTCAAAAGCAGTCAGTCAGTCAGTCAGTTTCAGGGACCACCTTGAAAGCAGGAAAGTGAAGTAACAAGATGGAGAGGTCTAGAGGGGATTTTCAGAGTTTAGGCCCTAGGGAGCTAAACACACAGCAGCTAATGATGGAACAATTAAAATCAGGGACGTTGAATAGGCCAGAGATGGGTAAGCACAGATAACCCAGAGGACTGTAAAGATAGAGAGAGACAGAGAGAGAGACAAGAGACAGAGAGAGAGACAGAGAGACAGAAACAGAAAAGGGGTGTTGGGTGGGGGGCACGGTGAGGCCATGGAGGCAATTGAAAACAAGTAGAAGAATTTTAAGAATTGAGGCCTTGCCTAATTGTTTAATTTATTGACACACACTGATTTCCAAAGAACTGCGGATGAGGAAAATCAGAGACAAAAACAGAAATGGCAAGAGAAACTCAACAGGTCTGGCAGCATCCTTGGAAAGAAAGCACACAGTTAACATTTCAAGTCCAGTGACCCTTCTTCAGCGTAGTTCAGTGGGGTGAGTGGTAAACGGAATTTGGCATCAAGACAGTGATGGGGGTGGGGCGGAAACAGAGTTTTGGACAACCTCAATTCTACATAGCATAGAATGTAGGAGACCAGCAGGACTGCATTAGAATAGTCAGGTATGGAAGGCGAGCCTAATAGTTTCAACAGCACGTGAGCTGAGGCAGGGATAGATTCAGGCAAAATTATGGAGAGTTTCAGCAGCAGAAGGACCACTCACATGTTCATGAATGATGAATGAAATTAGTTGATATTTCAACGAAAGAAAGCTCAGGTTGCCTTTTTCTAAAGTCAATATGAAAACGGAGAGAGTCATATCACATTATTAATATGAGGAATGTCTCAAATGCTAGACTCTTTACTTTTGTCATCAAACATTGTTTTAAAAGCAAAAGACATTGAAGATTTTCCAACGTGACAATGGTTGGTGGCTCAACAAAGTTAGCTACAGAATTCTAGGCTGCAGTCAAAACTGGAGAATGTGCATTTATTCCTCTCAGAGAAGTGTGGAGATTTAATTGAGATGTTTAGATTTATGTGGGTTTGTGACAGACAGTAAATAAGGAGAAATCATGGACAGTCAGTAACCTAAGGAGACAGATTTGAGATAGAGTCACACAGCATGGAAACAGACCCTTTGGCCCAACTCATCGATGACAACCAGGTATCCTAAACTGAACTAATCCCACTTGCCTGCATTTGGCCCATATCCCTCGAAATCTACTGGGGAGGTAAGAAGTGCATTTCTCTTGAAATACAGTGAGTTGTGATGATCTGGAATCCATTGTTTGGAAACAAGATTCAATACCTTCCAAAAGCCACAGCTGGAAATTACTTGAAAAGAAAAAATGTGTGCCCGTTTATGAAACAAGAGCAGAATGAATGAGATTAATTTAGAAAGCCCTGTCAAGGAGCCAACACAGGCACAATGGGCCATTTCATTGTCAATAAGCGTAGCCAACAATTTCACACAGAGCTGTTTCTCAACCTCAGCATTACCACTGGAGAAAAGTATTGAGCTGAGACCAGAACAAAGGAAAGTGAATCTCAAGCAATCAGACACATTCAGATCAACCAAATAGAGCACCTGCTGAATGATATATGAGGTTAGGTTCCACAAATGATAGTGTTACACAGCTGGAAACAGCAAGAATGGGATTGGGTTATGGACTGAGAGAAGGGAAAATTGGATTGCTTAACACAGCAAGAGAAGAGAAAACAAAAGCAGAAAATAAAACTCTTCTGTTAGATCTCCAATTACCTTGACATGATGGTGTGCATCCAGTAGTATGTTTGCAGGTTTCAGATCAAGATGTAACAAGGGCGGGGACATGCAGTGTAGAAAATTCATGCCCACTGCTGTCTCATGGATGATACGGAAACGCAGTTCCCATGGTAACACTTCCGAGGCCAACAGTTTTTCCAGAGATCCAGTCTCCATATATTCCATGACTAACCCCACTGGATCCTTGCAGATCCCATACACTGGGAGTATGTAGCGGAATTTTGCCATTTCCATCTTCTTAGCTTCGTCTAGCAGCTCTGCATTCTCTCTGCAAAACACAAAGAAAGAAGGAACAAACTACTATTCTGATCTGACATCTGACTGTCACTTGGAAGAAGTGTGAAAAAACCTCTTTTAAACAAAGAGGGAAAGTCATAATTTCAACTCTGGACAGGAATCAATAAGCTGTTTTACTTTGATTTGGAGATAGCAAGAACTGCAGAGGCTGGAGTCAGAGTCAATATAGTATGGAACTGGAGGAACACAGCGGGTCAGGCACCATTAGAGAAGCAGGAATGCCGACGTTTCAGGTCCTGATGAAAGGTGTAAACCTGAAACATCGACTTTCCTACTCCTCGGATGCTGCCTGACCTGCTGTGTTCCTCCGGCTCCACACTGTATTAACTTTGATTTGTACTTCTCCCAATTTATCTAGTTTTGGTTAATTTGCAAATAAGTCAAAAAAAAGCTCAAGCCTAGACGGTAAGTATCAAATTCATTTGCCATATTTGGCTTGAAGATTGGGGGAAGCATAGATTCCGTGGAACAACTTTGAGGCTTTAAAGGATTAATTTAAAACAGGTTTGGATCTAAAATCTTGTATTTCCTCGTATATAAAGATTAATGGTTTATCCGATTGAATGACTTAAGCTGATTAAAGGTCTTGATAGGATTGGGAAGAAGCTATTTCCTCTGGTCAGGAAGTCCAGAACAAATGTTTCCAATTTTGAAATTAAAGCTAAGCATTCAGAAGGAGAGGGTGGCTGTCAGGAAGTACCTCTTCAGACCTGTAGTGAATGGAATTTCTCCCAAAAAGCAATAGAGTCTGCATGACAACTGAAAATTACAAAAGGCAGATTTTATTTTCTGTTAAGAGAAGTAGAAAAATGTGACAAATTATACACAATGTAATTGAATACTGGAGGGCTCAAATGCTAAAATAGCTTACTCCTTTGCAATGGAGCTCCACACAATTAAAGTCCACTCCCACTCAAGCCCAGGCCAAGGCCACTAGAAAGATAATATATTGATTGCATTCGCCTCGGCCAGTTGTAATCTAAGCCTATAAGCCCCATGCTAAATGAGATAATGTAGCCTACACCACATTTTGAACTGGGCTTTGGCAAATGTAAAAAAGTAGTTCTGCTGCATAAATGTGACCAGTGTTTTACTGGATAAAGTACCACTCAGTTTATTGCTGAAATATTCAGAACAAAGTGTTTCATAGATATTTCTAGATTAACTTGTCTGAACAAGTTATGACACACATCTAGAGGAATGCTAACTTTGACCTGGGTGGAAGCATTGACTGCAATGTCACAACTGGATCCTTTATCCTTGATTCAGGAAGTAATGAAAGACAGCCACCAAGATTAATATCACTATCTCATCACTTCTACTTGAGGTTTATAAAATCATGAGGGGCATTGACAAGGTGAATGACAAGGGTCCTTCCCTAGGGTGGGGAGTTCAAAACTGATGAACATATTTTTACGGTGAGAAGAGAAAGATTTAGAAAGGATGTGAAGGGAAACTTTTTTTTTTAAACACAGAGTGGTTCATGTGTGAAATGAAGTACCAGAGAAAGTGGTCTTTGCTGTACAGTTACAACATTTAAAAGACATTTGGATAAGTTCATGAATAGGGAAGGTTTGGAGAGATATGGGTCAAGTGTAGGCAGGTGGGGCTAGTTTAGTTTGGGAACATGATTGAAGTGGACTGGTTGGAGCTGGACTGGACATGGACTGGTTCCATGCTGTATGGCTTTATTTCTTAATGAATTGAGAGTCAATGTTGGACTCTGCTGAGATTCTGCTGACTTAACCTATCCGTGATCACATTTGAAGAATAGCAACTGTATCATGGAATAGTTTGCACTTGTGAAGTGGTCACCAGACGAGTGGACCCATTAGATTCTTGTACAAGAACTGAATCACACTTAAGTTTATAAAGAGTCCATCAAAATATATCTTCACACCAAAATGACATATTAGAGATAAACTATTGAGCAAGAACAATGTCTTCTGTCAACATAATCCAGAGACTGACTGGAGCCAGGGGGATGGAAGTTAGATCTCCAAGACAAGATTGCAACATGAAACAAAACACTCATAGCAACTGGAGCTTAACACTCCAGCAAAAAGGAGTCTAATGTAAACTCATCACATCTTCATCAGGTGTGTCAGTAAAAAGTCTGCATGCCTTCGGCAATTTTTTACTCGACCTGTTCTGTAGAATTGGCAGGCCTATTCATTTAGGAACTAATGGAAATTTTGTTGCATCTGTTCCCATGTTACATTAACAGGGTAAATTTTTAAACAGTGGTTGTGCAATTTAGTGCTGATAAAAAGGGATGTCAGCACCTTGTTTCATACAGAAATATGTACCACCAATCGCAGTCACAACAATATTTACAACTTGCTCTTTGAAACAGCTCACCAAGTCTGTGCTAGCAAAATAAACAATGATCCCAGTGTCCTATTTCCAAGATCTCCAAAAGCTGTGGTGAAGTTCAGAGATTTGTCAATCCCTCTTTTGAAGGAAATTACGGAAGTCTTTGACATGCTCAGGCAAGCTTTTATGGTTACTAGTTGATATTTATGGCTGCATTCCTCTAGTGACAAATGCCCACCACCATGACATTCCAAAGCAAATGCATCATATATATCCAAGCATGTCTTGAAGTAATTTAACCCAATGTTACTTTTTAACTTGCAGAGCCTGGGTTTGAATCCTGCTTAGAATATTGGAATAAAAGATTTCTGATACTCTGACAATGTCGGTCCTGTGTGAAATGACATTGGCTAGTTTTCAGTCTGTGTAGGTTTTTTGGGTCAAATACCATTGCCAGTACATGATATAGTCTGATTGTTTCCTGATATATTGGCTCAAACCAAAGATTGGGCTTTTGTTTTAAAGTTTAGTAGCAACACTAACATTTATATTGCTATAACATTGCAAACATATACATAGTCTGGGGTTTGTGCTTACTGATGTTGCTGTACATTTCATACACATAACAGACTGACTGAACACACTATGCTGACTCCATTGCACCAAGATAGTGACTGAGAAGATGTGGATACATTTATACCAGGACATTCCATAGCATTGTGCTTTTTCTGAATGGTACACTGTCTGTATAGTTTTGACATCTATGCAAAAACAACACTGACCTCACAACAAACAGACTCTCATCTGGCATTAAACTTACAGTCCCTATTCAAAAAGGCTATTAGATGACTGATGCAGGAAACCAGAGAAGTATCAGGCACCTTCTGAAGATTGAGATAAAGTACATTGTTTGTGCGAAACCTGAAGGAACTTTATTTTCTATCTAACTTGACCTTGACCCGAGTTCATGATGTTGACGCAAGATATGTGATATTGGAAGCATGTCACAGCCCAGCATAAGAGCAGAATGACTAATGAAATAGGGAGTAGGCTATTTGACCCCCCGAGCCTTTTCAAAATGAACACGGCTTACCTAACTGAGGCCTCAATTCCACTTTTCTGCCAGCCTAACGTAGCCCTCGATTCCCTGTCTAACTTTTCCTTGAGTATATTCAATAAAAACAGCCTTCATTGCTCTCTGGGTTAGGAAATCCAAACGATTAATGGCCCTCAGAAATGGAATTTCTCCTCATTTCCATCGAGTGGGAGATGCTTTTTTCTGAAACTCTATCCAATGGTTTTAGATCCACCTCCCCCCAACACCTCCAAGAGCCAACATCCACTTTGCATCCATCCTGTCAACATCCATCAGAGTCCTGTATACCTCAAGAAGATCATAACCCCCAATGATTTCTGGGTCTAACCTGCTCAACATTCCCTCACAAATTAACTCTTCCTCCCAGGAATCTACTTCATGAACCTTCTCTGAACTATCAAAGCAAGCATATTGTTCCTTAAGAAAAAAGAAGACAACAACAAAACCTCAACTGGATGAGCATCACATTTGCAAACAAAACAAAATATACAAAAACAGTTACAGGATTTTAATTCAACACAAACTGTAGAGAAGATTCTATTTTCTTCTCTCTTGTGCTGATCATCTTACCCAGTTTCTACTGGGCCTAGGGTCCCAGTCAACACTGCATGGCCCACAACATAGATTAGCCAAAGTATCGATCGCATTCAGAGAGCAACACAAAATTGACCATTGTGGGTAATGAAGATGTCACTTAGGAGCAATAGGATCTAGTGTTCTGAGGTTATATGAAGCAACATTACAACATCACTGCAAGGAACCCTCATAGAACGCAAAGAGTTTTACTTCCCCACTTTAATTTGAGGGAACCTTCCTCTCTTGCTTTTTTACCCTGCCAGGCCCCTACCTGCTGCTGACTGCCCACCACAGGAAACAGATCTCCTGCAATGTTGCATATCAAGGAACATTGCATGAGGTATAGATATGTTTTGTTGGTAATAGCCGATGCAGGACTTTAAGTGATTAATGTTCCCATGAAAGACCACTGACATGGCGTTAACTACAGTTGCATCATGATTGGCTGAGTATTTTGAGCACCTTCTATTTTTATATCAATGGCATGAGACTTTCACTTGTATGAAATGGAGGTGAAATGACCAATTTTTCTTCATTTGTGGGGCGTGGGCATCGCTGGCTAGGCCAGCATTTATTGCCCATCCCTAGTTGCCTTTGGGAAGGTGGTGGTGAGCTGCCTCCTTCAACTACTGCAGTCCTCTGACTGTAGGTTGGCAACAATGCCATTAGGGGAGGAATTCAATTCAACATCTACTGG